GTACTTTAGATCCGGCCAATTAAAAAGCGCTATATAAATTATACTCGAGTTTGAATCAACAAACGACACCGACAAGGCTCGAATCAAATATATTGCCCTCACACCAGGTGCGGGGTCAGATAAATACATCTATCTATCCTTAAATTCTAAGCCCCCCCCTCCCCCGCCGGGGTTAAAACAAGACGGCTTAATGATGCCGGAGAATCCTAACGTTCTAAGTTGGTTGATGCACTGGTTCAATTTGTCCTTCAGGTCGACAATCTCTCAGTCTTGCTCATTAAGCCTAATCAGGTCTTCTCGGCAGCTGACCTCTTTTTAGCTTCTTCGTCCTCATCTAGGTCCTCGAGAATGAGAAGCGGGATCTCGCGATCAGCTAGTATGTTCTGTAAGACAGCAGATTGCCTCGAGAAATACTCGGCCTCCTTGGTTCTCTTCTTCAGCAGCTCTATTGTAGCAATGAAGTGCTCCGTCCTCACTTGTATCTGTTTCTTGACAAGCGAAAGGATATGGAATTTCTCGAGAAACCAAGGAGATACTACGATCCTTTGACCAACCCTTAATGCAGCGTTCTCCTTCTTCAATTGAGCCATCTCTTCACTTACGTTTGTCTCCAGGATCAGGGAGTCTTGGTAATTGAGATCATACTGTTGAAGCGGCGTTGATATTCCTCCTCTTTTTGCTTGAAGCGCTGCACCGGTCGAGAATGTATCTGTATATTATATGTTTGGACGGCATCTACGAAGTCTTTGTCTAGTGATCTCACCACGGATATATCATGAATGTTCCTCAACTTTCTCCTTACTGAAGAAACCATGGGATACATATGAAAATTCCTGGCCTGGTTCTTATCTAGGATCATCCAGTGTACCTGATGAACAAAGTATGGTTCCTATCATAAGTAACAAAAAGGCGTCGAAAAGTATCAAGGGAAAGAAATTCATATTAAGTGAAGATTAGAAAAATCTACTCCAATGAGTAGCATTACAAAACAAGGATCTACGACCCAGAAGAAGCCCTATTACAAAAAATAAAAAAAGAAGTTCATACAGCGCCTAGGTTTGGCGGGTTAGTTGGCTAGCTCTCATTGTTTTCCTCGACTGGAGCTTGGTTCGTTCCAGCCTCCTCTTCGATTTCTGTCCCTTCTCCTTGTCGCCTCCATCATCATCTCCCTCTGAGGAGTCATCATCAGAGACTAACTCAACCCCGATGAATTTATCCGGCAGCTCGGGTACCCTCAACTCCTCACAAGGCTTACCCATCAAAATGGTAGGGGCATCACCGGGAAAGAGGTGATATCAGCAGGAGAACCCATTTGGAGGATAGCATTGCAAAACTCATTGAACAAAGGTAGCTGTTCAGTCGAGAGATGCAATAATCCATTCTTCATCTCCTCATGTAGACCCCGGCGAGGATCTTTCCTAATAAACTGCCTTAGCCAGCCGGCATTAATCGTCCTACCACTTTCCATCCTCTCGAGTGCCGTGATAGCAACGCCATGACCGCCCAACTACTTAGCTGCTTCACTGATGCCAAGCATAACATTGGCCATTCCACCCTTAGGCAGCATCCTCGCCCAGAATGCGACAAGCCACTGCTGCAAGTCTGTCTTAGAGATATGGGATTCCCCATACTCTCTCATTTTTGCCTCCAATTCAAAATACGTGGCTTGCAAGGAAGCCAATTCTTTCTCCTTCTCAGCTCGTAGGGAAGCCAACTCTTTCTCTTTCGCAGCAAACTCCAACTGCTCCTTCTTCCAGGCATCCTCCTGGACTGTCTTCTCTTGCTCGTTCAACTTCTTCTCTAAGATCTATCCTGGTCAGTTCCTCTCTCAGGTTCTTCTAGCGCATCAAGAAGCTGATCATTGAGGTGCTCATCTACACATAAGAAATATTCCATTATATCACAACAGGTAGCATATATGGTGTCAATTACAGTATCGGTAATACTTACCATCTTCAGAGTATCCTCCCCTGTCAACATCGCAACATTCTCCTCGAGGACGGGGAACTCGATCCTGGCGTCCCTGAAGTGATATATGGCCGCTGCAGTAGTGTAACTCGAAGATCTGGAAGAGTTGACGGTGCCCTCGACAGTGTCTTTCAGCCTCTTCAAGGAAGGTCGAGGCCCTGTAAACTGGTCAAGGTTGACTTCTATGGCGAGACGGCCCTCTTGGGGGGGGGGATTCTTAGGATTCTCCTTCTCTTTGGCCGCCTCGACCTACGGGGGGATTGTCTCCTTGGGAGTAACCTCTTTCTCGAGAATACCTTCCTTCTCGGAGGGGTGGTCATATTTGCTCTTCTTTTTGGCCTCCGCATCAGATGTCCTGACCAATTTCTTCACCTTTCTTTTCTTCTTCTGGATCTTGGTCGACAATCCTTCATCAGAGTTTTTCGCATTTAAAATCTTGGTGTCACCAAACAATCCAACAGTGTTTCTACTCGACGACATAACCTAAAACAGGAAAGATAAAAGAGAAGTTAATACCTTCTTTTCCCTCGACTGGAATTGGAGGAATATAGTGCTGAACCATGGCCCAGTTAATCAACTTCTCATAATCTTCCATGGCATTAATGGCAGATCTGTACTTCTTGATTCTAGCCTTATCTGTCTTAGTCCAGTCGTCCACTATTGCATCCATCCCATGGGTTTCTCGATAATCCCAGGCCAGACAAAAGCTTTCTGGAACCTTTACATACAAGTACTCGGATTTCCAAGGTGGGGAACCATCGAAGAGTTCTAATATCCGAATGGCTTTTGACTTCGGATTTTTCTTTACATTATACCAGTCCCTGAATTTCGTCGAGGGAACACACACCTTGAAAAAGTACCTCCACAACAGTAGTCGAGGCCTTACATTCACCAATTCACACAATTTGACGAATCCCAGTACGGCAGATATCAAATTTGGGGTAAAACGAGCAAGTGAGATTTTATAATACTGCATTATGACTCCAAACAAGGGAAAAAGGGGGAGTCTAAGCCCTAGAAACATAAATCGATCATAAACAATGATTTTTCCCTCTGGTGGAGTATTAATCCTTTCATTTGGGAGGGCTTGGTATCCTAGATCTACAAACAACTTATACTTCTCAGCTACTGCCTCAGCTTCTGGGGTGGAACCTATGGTGGATGCGAAAACGGAAACAGTTTTCTCAGCCATATCACCAGAATATATACTAAACAACAAGATTTAATCAAAAGAAAAGGGCAGAAACTTAATAGTAAGGATTCTAGGAACTCACTTTGATAAGTTTCTAGGGTTGACCTTTTGTATTGTATCCACCCAGAATGGAGATTTTCTTCGAGTGTAGCAAGCATAGGTGCCTCCGGCGACGGGGCAGATTCTTTTCTGTGAGCGGTAGCAAGAGAGTTGCTGGGGCAAAGCTTTTGGATATGAAGTATTGAAGTGAAGGGAGAAATGAAAACGACCCAAATCCTTTCGCTATAAATGAGAATTTCAACTCCCCACAATTCGACAGTTTGGAGTAGAGTTCCAAGAAGAGTAATGATGGTGAAGCCGTCGTTTAGGGAACGTGCCCACTAATGAGGCGTTTGGGCGGGATTGAAGTCGGGTCGTCTTCCCGGTTCGGGTTCTCGCATGCGACTAGATCTATTGGGTCGCCTCTTTGCATGTTGGGCTGCAACTAAATTCTTCTGGGCCGGATTAAATATACTCCACTCAAATCTTGGTTAAAACTTGTCCATTCAGCTTGGGCCGAGTCCTGGTAATATTTATCTTTTGTCAAGTCTTGTTTATTCCATATAACTAACTCTTGATAGGGGCACTTGACGAGTCTATATCCACCACTGATATCGGACCGGTCCATTCGCGAAATAAGGAGTCCAACCGACTCTAGTAGGGCGGCATAATAATGTCAAACCTAATGGGATTCGGCTTCCCTCAAGGTAATTCCATACCTATAAATAGGACCAATCATGCCACAATTGAGGTAAGCTATCTCTAGCACCAATCACTACATACATATTACTTCATAACCCTATTTCTGACTTAAGGATCGGAGTGTCTATACTCGGAAGACTCTCGAGGCCTTCTTTTGCAGGAGACCCAAGCCGTAGTTCCACTGTTAAGCCGGCGGTTCAATTCCAGGCTTCGTCAACTAAGAAAATGAAAATGAGAACTAAGGGAGAGACGTAAAGGTAATTGAAGGATTTCATGTGGCTATGGAAAATTGATTTACTGAAGCTGTGCGGATATTCTTGATTCTTGAGAATCTGGGAAGGTTGGAAAAATGGGTTCACAAATCCGGGACGAGTAGATGTTTCAGAGCCATTGACTTCCCGAAGAGGGCATTGGCTTTTAGCCCCGCCTAAGATTTTTTCTAATGTTGGTTTTACCTGTGATGTTGAAGGGACTAATGAATATCAGAAGCAGGGGAATGACGAAGTGGAAGCCGGATCCTTAATCTTTTCACTGATTTCCAATCTCTATAACTTTGAGCTTGGCAAAATCATTATAACCTGTGGGATCACATATACATCTTCAACTCATGTTTGGACTTGATTGTCAAGTGTAATGAGCACGGCATTGACTAGGAAGACTTACCAATTATCGTGGAATCTAATCTGATAATTTCATCCAACCGCAAACAGTTTTGGAAAAAGTCGTTGATCATAATTTGGAAAGGGCTGAAGGAAATTGAATGGATGTGGACATTTTGATGGTTGACGTTATTCAGGTAGGAAAGACATGGAAACGGAAAGGGTGAAACCAAATAAAGAGGGCACACATTCTTTGGCTCTTTTTCTTTTTTCATTCAATATCAATCTAGAAAAGTTAAAGCTTTTTCCAACTTTCGTATCTGGTTCATTGTGAGTCCGCATTTTTTCATATTAACTGTGTCTTGTGTTATCACTAATTGTCCATAACTCCTACCCATTTTCATAGCATGAACCACATGAGGAAGGCAAATATGCATGTTGCAGAAAGACAATGAACAGCCCATACGTGAAAAAATGCAAAGGAAACAAGCAAGAGTTATATGGTAATGGTCCGTTGAAGAAAAAGAACAGATGAATACGAAACAGTGACATCTCTGCACAGATCAGATGTTTCGAGCTAAATTCTCAATAGAATTCCTATGTTCTTCTCTGCCGAATAGAGAAGAAAAAAAAACCCTTCTAGCTGAAATATGAAGAAATCATAAAATGATTTACAAATCAACAATGGGATTAGTTTCACAAATTATACACGAAACCAGTCTGATCTTTGTTCTAGTGGCCCCTAATGGCTAACAATCAAATGGCTCGTCCGGGGGAGAGATCGAGCTTCAAGACTTCGCTAATCATAATAAGGTAAGACAAATTAACCGATTTGTGATTAGTGTTTGCTCACAACTCACAAGCAAATGGGACCATTTGCCATGAGCCTTCACAGTTTCATTTCTCATCGTGGTTCAACAACTGAGATGGACAAATCATTCACAGAGACAGGCAAAGGAGCCCCTTGATTTCCTCTCTCGGATGAGGTCGAGTCATGGTTATGAAGTGCCCTTCTTCCAGTGAAAAAGGCTGGTTGCTTTGGATCTTCCAAACTCATGCTGTCATTGTTAAGCATAGCAAGAACTTCTGACATTGTTGGCCTATCTATCGCACTTTCTTGCACACACAAAAGACCAGCATGAATACATCTTAATATCTGTTTTGTGTCATCACTCAAATCTCCAAGAGCAGGATCTTTTAACGCTAACGCCATTCCACCTTTCCACAGCTCCCATGCCTGATATGATCCCATATCTCATTTCATGTTTTTTTTTTGGTTTAATAATAAAAGAAAAAAACATAAGCATAAGCAATGACAGGTGCAAAAAGGTTGAAGGGAAAACTTACATATCCTATGAGGTTGAGTGTACGGTCCTCAAAATCATAGAAGCTGGAATTTTTCCGGCCGCTGATAATTTCAAGCATCAACACCCCTAAACTGAAAACATCGGACTTGATTGAAAAAGTTCCTTCCATGGCATATTCCGGAGACATGTAACCACTGCATAGAAGCATTCAACTTGTGTGTTAGAAAATTTTTGAGAAAGCACAGAAAGTATAATAGTTGATGATCTGTAGGCATAAGAATGCAAATGCAACTTACTAAGTTCCAACAACCCTGTTAGTCATAGCTTCTGTCTCGTTCGGTTTGAAGATTCTAGCCATACCGAAATCAGCAATCTTTGGTTTCATATTTTCATCCAGTAACACATTACTGGCTTTCAGATCTCTATGAATAACTCTCATTCTGGAATACTTATGGAGGTACAATAATCCTTGAGCGATACCATCGATGATATCAAATCGTTTCTGCCAATCCAATTGCTCTTTTTTATCTTTGGCTGTCAAAGAGATGCAAAATGGCTTGAATTGAAGTCTGCTTCTCATTTTGTTATATTGGGATTCAGAGAAAATCATTAAGCAGAAAAGATTCAAATGCTTCATACCAAAAAGAAAGAAGTCCAGGCTCTTGTTGGGCATATACTCATAGATTAGCATTTTCTCTTCTTCATGAATGCAACATCCTAAAACTCGGACGAGATTAGTGTGCTGGAGCTTGGATATAAGAATCAGTTCATTTTTGAACTCCTCTAATCCTTGACCCGATGTCTTCGAAAGCCTTTTAACAGCAATTTCCCGACCATCAAGTAATCTCCCCTATCAACATAGTATTACAGACTATCAGCGTAAAATCGGAATGATAATCTTCTTAGGGATTCAAGTATACAACTCACCATGTACACTGGTCCGAAACCGCCCTCCCCAAGTTTGTTTTCTTCCGAGAAGTTATTAGTAGCAACAACTATAGAACCGAAACTAAAAATATTTAAGTCACCTTCTCTTCTTTCCGTCTGTTCATCAACGTTTGTAAAGCTCTCGGATGCTGTCAATCGATGTATGTATTCATCACGCTTTCGCTTCTCCGCTTCTACAGTACAAAACGAATCCATCACTTTAAAGACATTTTCTTTTTAAGAGAATTCAGGAGATGTAGAATATGATGATTACCTTCTAGTTTTCGCCTTCTAATCCTGATATAGCCTATTGAGCCTAGCAGCAACATTATAATGGCAGCCAATATCGCCACGACTATCCATATCCATGTTCTCCCTGTCAAAGCAACAAATTAAGCAGCCCTGATTTTGCTTTTCCTAAACAATTCAACCAATTCAACCATGAGAAGCTCAATTATGTATTAGTACCTTTAGGAGGCAGGGGAGGGCAAAAGGTGATGGTGTAGACGGAACCGATACAAGAGAAAGTACTTGTGGCGTCATCGAAAGCATAGCTGTAAGCTTGAGGGCACTGATTCTTGAAGATCTTCGAGTAATTATTCGGCTTGCAAGCATCCGGGCTACTAAATTTTCCAGTGCAGCAGTATTCAGGTTTTCCAAAAGCGTCACAAGGGCTCCGACAGCCTAAGACCTCCCCGCCATCGCCGGTCATTTTTAGCTCCGAAGGGCAATCGGCGTTCAGATCCGCAGGGCAACCAGTGGTTCCACAGTTTCCTCCACCGCCAAGTGATGCAACAAGAATCGGAACATTAAACCCATCGACCAAGCTGACGTCGTAGAAATCCGCGCCGGAGGAGTCGGCCTTGAATTCCGCCAGCGTGACTGGCGGAGCCGATGAGCTGTTCCCGGAGCATTCAACCCTGCCGGAGCCGCAGTCGCCTGTAAGGCACCTGAAATTCGACCCGTTGGAGTCATTAGTGCAGTGAGTTCGAGCCCAGATTCTGCCACCCCATGAAGATTCCCCTTGAATCGTCTCTGAGTCTCCAGGTTGAAGAGCAAAACCGGTACTTGAAAGCTCCCGGCTTGCGCCGTTGTTAATAATCGCCGGCCAAACTGTTTCCCGGCATTTGTTCTCCAGTGTAAACGCCGCCGCGGCATTTGCTACCCCTTCACAATGAAATAAATCAAAATAAGCAAAAATATCACTTATTTCCAAAATCACTTCCATTTCCAGTCTATTAAATACCTATGAAGATGGGACTAATGAATGTCAGAAACAGGGGAAGGACGATGAACAAGCGGAATTGAGGCATATTTAGAAAGTCTTTTAATCAATCTCAAGGCATAATAATAAGAATTATGCACGATTAGTTGAAATCTATCTGTGTTCTCATCATTTGTTCAAAGAAGAAAACCAACCAGTGAAAATTTTCCAACCAAACTTTTGGATACATCGAATGGTGAAAAGTCCTAACAGGAAAACTGAGCACCGCATCGATTTGGCAAAAGACTATTGGAATAGGATGGTAAGTTGGTGGAAACTGATTCGATGGAAAAAGGGATGTTGAAAAGTAAGAAATTCATAATATTGAAAGGAACTTGCATGGAAAATGAACTGGATGGTACAGCAGAAAGGAAATTTGACTGGTTCTGGCATTTTGGTGTTGGACTCATTCAGAAAGGCAAGAATTGGAAGGGACTCATTTTGACTTTTGAATGGGTGAATGGTGACTATATTTGGGCACAATCTGATATATGTAATATGGAATTTTTTTAAAGACAGTGCATTTGGTGATCTAACTGATCACGAAGAAAGATTCAAAAGTCATAATTCTCATGTCGTGTTTATGTAACTAGTAAAAAACATAACAAACCGCATTTAATACTTGGAACTATTGAGTTTTTCCATAATAGTGGTGTGTTGTATCACAAATTATCATTCAGGCCTTTCTCGTTTTCACAGTACATGTATGAACCTTGTAAAGAGGCAATCGTACATGTTTGCAGAGAGACAATGGTAAACATCCATAAGAAATGCAAAGAAAACATGAAGAAAGTAATGACAGGATGAAGAGAAAAGACAGATGAATACAAATATCCGCAGGGATTAGAAATTAGAAAATAAATTCCCAGATTATGTTAGTTCCACTCTTTGATTGGGACTTATAACAACGTTTTGTATATTATAATAAACGAAAATGTAGGTTTTCCTCGGATGAATTCGCCGGCTCTTCTCCAGTTCACTACTAGATGGATTTGCTTACCAGAATTTTGTTAATGGTGTGCTTACCAGATAACCGTGTTGTTGTAGACAAGCAGTCTGCATTTGTTCTTTGATGTTCATCAACTCAGTACAAATGTCTAAGTTAGCCAACTATGGAACAGATTTCACACTTCATAGCTGAATAACAATCAAAGTGCGCGGTTCAAGATCATGTTTAAGTTCAACCAACCCTTTCTAGGCTGAGTAACAAGGAACGTCGCCTTTGGAAGATATAGAAGGGATGACCACCATATTTTCATAATGTTTGGTATGAAAATTCTAAGGGCCAAAGAAGCTTCTGAAATTTGTGTTGGAAATGAAGAAAAATCATGGAATAATGAAGTATTCAGCCTGTGCTTTAATGGCTTTTGCTCGTATTTCATTCACAGTATTCTCGTTACTCCCTCCATTCCAAAATAAGTGTCGTTTTAGCAAAATGAAGAAATTTCAAAATAAATATCGTTCTCACATTTCAATGCACTTTTGTCCAAAGTTTCCAAAATTACCCTTGAAAGAATTAATACTATTGGTGGACATTTTTTTAGTGGGGTTGGTTGAGGATATTGAAGTAATTTTATTACCTTATTTAAAAGTTTCTTAAACTATGTGCAAAGTGTAGGATGACACTTATTTTGGAATGGAGGGAGTACTATTTTGTTTCCTCGATCTCATCACTGGCCAAACATTGCCTAAATCACCAGCACCTCATCCAGGTGGGCTTAGAAGCTCCAGTTGTCTTAAATGCAAAGAGAAGCGAATGCTGCTATAAGTCACATCTATCTGATTCGTTTCAAGATTTGGATGCATCTTCTCTACATATGTTCTTTCTCCAATTGAGATAATGGTTTCACTTGGTCTGTGCCAATAGTGTTAAATTAATAAGTTTGCTTACTTCATCCAGGTTAGATATCATTACTGTGTCATTCTGTCATTAACTGATTGGTAGTCGGTACATAATGAAGGTGACAGTAGATCCAATCACAACTTTTATTTCCTCAACAATAATATCGGTTTGTGGAATCAGAACAGGAAAAATTTGGTACTTAATGAATGGCGTCAAGAGCTCATTCGTATGTGTACTAGATAGTTATTTTTTATCACCCCTCTATCCATAAACAATCCACAAAAAGATACAGTGGATGAGCTTTCTGAGAATAGTTAATTTTGTTCAAAATCATACTTTTGAAGAAACTCATGTTTTGTTTACTCCATGAAAGGAAACATCAAACTTTTTGTCTGCTTTAACTAGTTTTCTTCTTTATTTACCAGAACTTCCAATACGTGTTATGCAGCAAAAACTTGAAGGGCTAAGAACTGACTCTCCATAACCTAATTCCTCTGCTTAATTCCATCCGGAGATTGTAAACATCAGTCAATCAAAACCAACAGTTCTGAATAATCTTCCCAAGTGGAATTCAGTTGCTTGGGTGCTGGCACTGGTTCTTGCAGCACCACTACATTCTTTCTATTTTCCTCAATCCACCTTGATCGTGGACGTAAAGAATGGTGATGCAAATCAAGACGGTGCTGTCTCACCTTTCCAAATGAAGGCACTGACTTGCCTTCTAGCTCTTCGATAGTTATTGAGTTTTGGTATCAATCCAGTTTAGGTTTACATGGGTTGTGAGACCTTAAAACTAGATTTACGGAATATTTTGATGGGTTATACTAATTGTTGCTCCCCTAAAACATAGGGAGCGTCCCCTTTGGACGAATTTGCCCTCGTCATAAAACTAAAATAAACAAACTATTTTCTTCCACCTCCCAATTCTTTCAACTCCTAATAAGAAATAGAGTGAACCTCAAAACAAGTCATCAATATTTAATATATTTTCACTCTAGGTCATCAATTAAATTTATTTGTAACACAAATTACCTTACTAAAGTTTTAATCTATTTCAGATTATTCTGTTAATTTTGACCGTTAAATAGTGACGGAAATCCATTTTTCACGTTTTTGAGTTCAGGGGTATTTTTGTCATTTTTATTTTTATTTTTATTTTTTAATCTTTTAATTTTTTTTTTTTACAATTTTTCTTCTTATACTTCCTAACTTGTATATGCTAGTAGTATAATTCTAAATTTTAAAAATTTATTTTTCTTTTATATTTTAACTTCTAAATTATAAAATAATTTTTAAAAAAATTCAGAAATGAAGATGAAAAATTCAAGTTAGTAAACATAAAAATAAATAATTTACCATTTAAAAAAAAGAAAATTAAAATATTTAGCTAAGACAATTTGTTTCTTCTAGGTTATTTAATTTTTTTCAACTCGATTGAATTATTTAATTATTAATTTTCATGTTTCTTATTCCTTTTTTTTAATAATCTACAAGTTAATAAACAAATAAAAAATAAATTTGTTTGTCATTTGTATCTTAACTTCTAGATTATAAAAAAAAAGGAATAAGAAACGTGAAAATTAATAATTAAATAATTCAATCGAGTTGAAAAAAATTAAATAACCTAGAAGAAACAACTTGTCTTAGCTAATTCTTTTAGTTTTTTTTTTTGTTTAAAATGGTAAATTATTAATTTTCATGTTTACTTTAACTCGAATTTTTCTTCTTCATTTCTTAAATTTTTTTTTTTAAATTTTATAATCTAGAAGTTAAAATACAAAAGGAAAATAAATTTTTAAAATTTAGAATTATACTACCAGTGTATACAAGTTAGGAAGTATATGAAGAAGAATTGTAAAAAAAAAAATTTAAAAAAATTAAAAAAATAAAAAAATAAAAAATGACAAAAATACCCCTGAACCCAAAAACATGTGAAAAATGGATTTCCGTCACTATTTAACGGCCAAAATTAACAGAATAATCTGAAATGGATTAAAACTTTAGTAAGGTAACCTATGTTACAAATAAATTTAATTGATGACCTAGAGTGAAAATATATTAAAGGTTGATGACTTGTTTTGAGGTTCACTTTAAAAAATAAAAGCATTTCTTCAATTCAAAGACATCAACAATGAACGATTAAACGGGTTTTAGTGGAGACAAAAATTCATGGACAAATAAAATAACATTTCTAAACTTTTTAATTTTTTTTATTTCAAAATTTATTAAAAAACAAAAAAAAAAGATTTTGGTCGGGTCGAACGCCTGGAGATCGCGCTCCCCTCGCGGAGGGAGCGTCCGGCGCAAACGCCTACTCGTTCGGAGGAGTGTTTGAATTAGAGGCCTTAACCTCCAGTGAAGCGTAATGTTTGGACGCTTCTTTGGCGGTATTTATGTATAAGGTTCAGGCTGGGAGGGGCGCCTGGTGATCGCGCCGTACCAGGCGTCCGCTTGATACTCCCCTCTGTACAAATGAGGGTTTGGATTGGACGCTCTCGCCGCCGATCTGGCCCGATCTCTGGACGCCGTAACCGTCCAGAACCTTTTTTTTAAAAAAATCAGAACTTGATTTTTTTTTTTTAAAAAAAAACACTTTTCCAAAATTTTTTGTTTCTCATAAATTTTGAAAAAAAAATTTTAAAATTATGAAAAGTACTTAATTTACTAATGCACCTATACATCGATCAATACCTTTTCAGATTTTCATTATTCAGCCATAGGATTAAAGAAATATTATTTTTTTTTTTTAGAGTTTGGGAGGATTTGGAGAGAAGGTACAAAAAGATTTATGTGTTTTAATTTTATGAAAGGGATAAATTCGTCTAAAGGGGGCGCTCTCTAGAATTTAGAGGAGCGACAATTAGCAGCTCACTATTTTGATACTTTCTGAGGGTCAAGATATAATTTCCTTACTATTTTATTACCAATCTTCGATTTTGCTAATTGATTAACATATAAAAGAATGTGGTACAGGTCCTTTTTTCAAAATGAAAAAATAAATAAATAAAAGATCACCTTTTTTCATTTCCAAGTCTTCCCTACCAGACTGAATAAGTCAAGCACAAAAGTGCCCAGAACCAATCAATTTCCTACACTCAATTCACTTCATTATCCATGCAAAGTTGCTTTCCATATATGATGTGATCCACACCTTTTTCCAGATCCCTTTCCTGCAGGATCATTACCAAATTAGATTCCGCGACTAACGAACGGATTGGTTTCCTGGTCAACGCCGTGCTCGTTACACCACCAGCAAATTCACACTTGACTCTTAGAAGGATGTCCAAAGTCCAAATATGTGTGGATGTATGGTGTAATCCAACGGGTTAAAGTTATAGTGATTGGAGATCAATTAATGATGAAAAGATTATTGATTATTGATTGGAGATCAATTTTCCAAAACCATGAAATGCATCAATTTCTTTTGCATCTCAAGTTTGGTTCTCATTTCCAGTTTCTTGGTTTTTTCCTCCAGTGCAGCCGTTTTCACCATCCAAAACCAATGTGCCTACACCGTCTGGGCAGCAGCTATCCCTGGCGGTGGCCGGCGACTGGATGCTGGCCAAACCTGGACGATTGACGTGATTTCAGGCACAAACGGAGGCCGTATCTGGGCTAGAACTGGTTGCATCTTTAACAGCAGTGGGCATGGGAGATGCCAAACCGGCGACTGCGGTGGAGTTCTCCGGTGCACCGGCTTCGGTCAGCCGCCGAATACGCTGGCGGAATTCTCATTGAACCAATTTCAAAACCTCGACTTCTATGATATTTCTCTTGTTGATGGGTTCAACGTGCCGATGGAGTTTAGCCCGAACAACGCTTCCTGCCCCGGCAGCGTCCGGTGTACCGCCGATATTAACGGCCAGTGCCCCGGCGTGCTAAAAGCTCCCGGCGGTTGCAACAACCCTTGTGCTGTATTCAAGACTGATCAGTATTGTTGCACCTCCAGCAGTTGTGGGCCCACCGATTACTCGCGGTTTTTCAAGCAGAGATGCCCCGGTGCTTACAGCTACCCAAAGGACGATGATCAGACTAGTTTGTTCACTTGTTTAGGTGGTTCAGGCTACACCATCACATTCTGCCCTGCTTCTTCTGACTCCAGGTAAACAACTTTTAATTTTCTTCGTTTTTTTTTTTAAATTTTTTTTATGATCATTCGAGGATTCCAAAATGGAAAGCTTTTGAGTTCTGTCCATACCGTTTTTGTGATTTAGAATATTTCTACTTCTCATTTGTAGCGAAGTTCCAACTCCAAGCAATCTTCCTGGAGATGCTAGAAATGTAATTAGGCCTGGTGATAAATTGAACTCTTCTTCGAAGCTTGTTTCTGAAAATGGCAATTTCACATTAGGATTCTTCACAGTGCTACAAACTAATTTGAGTTATTTAGGCATATGGTATTCAGCTGATGAACAAAGAAGGGTATGGGTTGCCAATCCAGACTCTCCTATAGCAAAGGCCGATCGCGAAATCGAATTAGTCATGGAAAATACGGGACGAATTATGATTTTCAGTGGAGGAAAGTATATCAGATTTGTCACACATCAAGTTGTGACCGACAATCACACTGTAGCTGTTTTACTAGATTCAGGAAATTTTGTTCTTATGGATTCAGGAGAAGGGGACCGAACTTTATGGCAGAGCTTCGATCAACCCACGAATACGCTTCTTCCTGCTATGAAACTTGGCTACAATCTCACAACTAAGCAGAACTGGACACTGACGTCGTGGCTCAGTTCTTACATACCGGCGTCTGGCGCTTTTACATTAAGTTTGGAAAAGACTCAGGATTCAGGGCAGTTGGTTATCCGGAGGCGCGGTGTGATTTATTGGACTAGTGACCCTTGGAATAACCAAGGTTTCCCATTACTACCTTTACTAAATGCCTCTTCCAATCGATTTGTCGAAAAACTGAATTTAACATCTGCTGATGATGGCATGTTCTTCACTTTTGAAACAATGGGTACAAGTTTATCAATGTTAACCTTGTCTCCAGAGGGTCAAATTGTTGATGTTGCAAATAATGGGCTTATTGTTAGTCCTTATAAGGATTTTTGTTATGGGTATGAGAGGGATAATGGCTGCGCGAGTTCAGGATTGCCTACTTGCCGGAGCAATAAGACTGCCTTTCAAAGTAAGAGTGGGAGTTTTGTCGGAGATAACGGTGACTCTGATGCTAATTCAAGCATCAGCCTCAGTGAATGTATGGAAAAATGTTGGAAAGATTGCAACTGTAATGGATTTACAGTTAATAGCAATGGTACTGGTTGTATAACTTGGACAAAAACGAAGAAGTTTCGCATAGATGAGTCTGGTCAAACTATGAAAAAATATGTGCTGGCTGCAGAAATAATTGGAAAATTATCCAAAGGTAAATCTGTGGGTAAAAGATGATCAAACTCTGTTATTATTCCTGATCTTCTCGTGGAATTTGATTGAACTTATGTATCAAATAGTGTATAATTTTGGTTACCTTGTTGCTTGGATAGGAAGAGCATGGATGTGGGTGGTTGTTGCAATATCAGCTGTCATTCTTCCGTTGCTGCTTGGGTTCATATGCTATATCAAGATTAAAAAGCATAAAGTAAAAGGTAATCATCAACTCATCATAATCCACATCTCTCTCATTCTCATTTTTTAGATGTCTCTAAAATGATGCATAACTTCTGTACGGTAGAAGCAGAGAAACGACGGCGTGAAGAATACTTACGTCAGTTGACAGCTTCCGAGAGCTTTAAAAACGTTGATGACACGCAGAAACAAATAAGAGAAGGTGACTTAAATATTTTTAGTTTCGCCTCTGTAGTGGTTGCTACCAATAACTTTTCATGTGAAAACAAACTTGGAGAGGGTGGTTTCGGACCGGTGTACAAGGTGAGTTATACTTTGAATCCCTAAGAAAGTTATGATTCTGCTTTATGTTAATAGCCTTTAACATGATGGCAGGGGAGATTACTTGATGGTCAGGAAATTGCAGTTAAAAGGCTTTCTAAGACATCGGGTCAAGGATTAGTGGAGTTCAAAAATGAACTGATTCTTATATCCAAGCTTCAACACACTAATCTCGTCCGAGTTTTAGGATGCTGCATTCATGAAGAAGAGAAAATGCTAATCTATGAGTATATGCCCAACAAGAGCCTGGATTTCTTCCTTTTTGGTATGAAGCATTTGAATCTTTTTTGCAATCTGGTTTATCTTGAAATCCTAGTTTAACAAAATGAAAATCTGACTTCAAAGTGTTCCTTCCGAATCTCTTTGACAGCTGAAGACAAAAAGGAGAAATTACATTGGGAGAAGCGATTCGATATCATTGAAGGTGTTGCCCAAGGGTTGCTGTACCTTCATAAATACTCTAGAATGCGAGTAATACATAGAGATTTAAAGGCTAGTAATGTGCTACTGGATGAAAATATGAAGCCAAAGATTGCTGATTTTGGTATGGCAAGAATTTTCAAACCAAATGAGACAGAAGCAATGACTAACAGAGTTGTTGGGACATAGTAAGTTCAATCTTTCCTTGTTATGTCTACGAATCATTAACACCTATAAGTCTTTAGTGTTGGTTTTTTCTTCTCATCTATTACCTAAAAGACAAAAGGTCAATGATACTATATATGCAGTGGTTACATGTCGCCGGAGTATGCCATGGAAGGAACTTTTTCGATCAAATCCGATGTTTTCAGTTTTGGGGTGCTAATCCTTGAAATTGTTAGTGGTAGGAGAATTTCCAACGTCTATGATTTTGAGGACCATACACTCAACCTCATAGGATATGTGAGTTTTTCTGATCAACCCTTTCGCATTTATCATTGCTTCTCTATAGTTAATCTTCTGCAAAGCCACAACGAAGAAACCATGAACTGGAAAATGGATTTATTTTCAGGCATGGGCGCTGTGGAAAAAAGGGATGGCCTTAGAACTTAAGGATCCCACACTTAATGATTTGAGTGATGGAAAAACACAGATACAAAGATCCATTCATGTAGGCCTTCTGTGTGTGCAAGAAAGTCCAACAGACAGACCAACTATGTCACAAGTTATTTCCATGCTCAACAATGAGGGTATGAGTTTGGCAGATCCAAAGGAACCTGCATTTTTTACTGGAAGAAGGGCACTTAATACCCATGACTCAACCTCATCTGAAAGAGGAAATCAAGGGGCCCTTTTGCCTGTTTCTGTGAATGATTTATCCATTTCAGTCATTGAACCACGATGAAACTCTCATTCTCCAATGTAGAGTGAACTCTGTATCGGATGGTTCATGGGTGTAAACCATCATCTGAGTTCCAAAAGTTAGTAAAGCAAAATTCCTGGTGATTCCAAATGAAATACAAACTAACTCATTGCTTTCCACCTCACTGCAACCAACTAAAAAACATACTTAACATTGCATTTGTTTTGTAGTTTTATTCATCAATATTTATAATTTAAATTTAACAATAAACTGTTTCAAATTTTTTTTAAAAAAAAAAAAGCAAAAAATTAAGGAAACGGTTGTGCTACAGGGATAGATCTAGTTAGTAGAAAATTGACAAAAGTCAAATTTTGGGAGAAAATCGATCCAGGAGTCCAAATCTTACTATATTAGAAACAAAAACCACACTTAATAGAAAGTACCACAATTTGCCATGTCGCATTTTCACATCATATTTTTAAAATAAATTTTTATTTAAACATTAGTTTTCTAGACTTAAAAGACAAAAACATTCCAAATCCACCCCCACCTCCTATTTTCGCTAAAAAAAAAAAAAACTACGGATTCACAATCGACTCTCTAATCAATCCCTTCTCCACAATAAAAAAAAAAACAAATTCCTCATCAATCATTAACTGAGAATATGTGGTGAAATGTACTCCTTTTATATTAGCATGTTCAATCTTTTCATTAGTGATAATCAACTACATCCTAATGGAATAAAATTTGACTTCAAGAAATATTCTCTTTACCTCTCTATATAAACACAAAGGAAAAAAAAAAATTCTCATTGATCTTGCTTCGGCCGTTGTAGTGATGCCATTACAGGTATTAAAATTTAAATGATTTTATTTCCACAGATCATTTGTTTGGCTTTTTTTATATTTTATTTTTCCTGTTCAAGAATAGTGTTATTACTATTATTTTTATGCGACCACCCGTTACAGCTACCGTAGCCGTTGCCAAGTATTATGATTTGATTTCTTATATGGTTAGTTAGCCTAGAATTTTTGTATGATTTTAGTTTTGTTTGGATTGAATTGATCAATTGGGTTTTTGTTACAAAGTGTGGTTTTTTTAATTTCTTTTTTATGTTTCATTCCATTAGAGTGATTTTTCTTTTTTTAATTATGGAGTCTCAGTTATTTTTTCGGATATGGTCAATTTTGAAGTGTGTTTTTCTTTTTAAATTTCTTTTGATTTTGTTTCATACTCCCAGTTGACCAATTATTATTATTATTTTTTTTTGGCAAATGAAGTGCGTTTTTTTTTTTTGTGTTCGGGCTTTTAAGAATATACTTTTTGGATTTAGTTTTTGGACTTTTTTTGAGTTCCTCATCATATAAATAGTTAATGTTGCTTCTTCTAACTAATTCATGGGGAAGTCTTTTATGAATTTGAGGTGGAGAGGGAAGGAATGATAGTTCTACGTTTATTTGTGTTTTTATATATTATTTTACCTACAGGAAAAAAATAATTTCTCAATTTTCAATGGGCTCTTTTACTTTTTTTTAATTATTTTATTTGCCATGGTGAGGTGAACTTTTTTTACTATAACTTGAAACCTATGAAAATTTACATTAATTTTCATTCTCATATTTGTGATCAACCTGTTTAAACAATTAACCAGTTTCAAAACGATATTTTTGATATTTTACTGCCTTTACACCTTTGGAAGAAACAGTTCCAACAATTAAGCGTATACCCTTCGGAGGAAGCTTACTACAAAGCTATTATAAATCTCATTTACTAAGTATTGATTTAGCACGACCAATGGAGAACATCAATAAATCATCTTGCTAATATTTAAATTTATTAAGATACTTTTATATTTTATCTAACTTTTACTTCAAGACATATATTTGATCAAGTTTATTTATATTTAATAAGTAACACTTATAAATCATTTCTAAGATCTTCAAACATTTTTAAAACGTAACGGGCCAAATACAATTTCTTTTTTTGCCAAACACAAACATTTCTATGATCACACTTATAAATATTTCTAAATTCTTCAAACATTTTTAAAATATATCGATCCAAATACAAAATATTTTTTTTTCAAATAAAAATATTTCTAATATCTAGAGATATACTGGGCCAGGGTCGCGCATTGCGCGATCAGACATTACTAGTATTTTGAGAGAAAATTGACGGGATTTTTCAATGGAAGAAATTGGAGAAAAATTAAATTAAAAAAAAAAATACTCCAACGAATGGGAACACAATGGATGCGAAAATATATATTTAAGATTTTTTTCCAATTAAAGTTAGACGGGGTTTTTCAATGGAAGAAATTGGAGTAGTAAAAAACAAAACAGTAATCTTAATCCACCTAGTTTTTAGAAATTGAGGCCCTTTATTCTGCCTGGCTCCTATAAATATACAGCTCTCCGTGTAAAATTCTCCCCTAAATTCAGAATACACAAATCCGATTCTCTTCACCTTCTTTTTATCTCAGCAAGCACAATATGTGGGAGTACTTCATTCCAGACGATTTGGTCGCTCTTGTTCTAGTGAGACTTCCATTTGATGCTCTGTTTCGATGTAGAAGTGTATCAAAATCATGGCGCGATTTGATTGACGCTCCGAATTTCACCCAATTGTACCTCAATTCCTCCCCTCTTGACAATACCAAACAACATATCATAGCTTGCCCCCCAAGCGGACGTACGTTTTATGCCTTTCAATGGGTTCATGAATTGGAAGGCAGCAGCCAGTACAAGGCCATCAATCCCAAAAAATTCGAAAACCCCTTTCCTGATTTTTTTTCGGGTCAAGTTCAAATTGTGGGTTCTTCAAATGGGATCCTTTGTTTGTGGAATAAATCATCAGATAGTCTTCTTTTGTGGAATCCGTGGATTAATAAGTTCTCCTCGTTGCCGGGTTTACCTGTTGATTGTACAGAGGCCGGAAGCTATTGCGTCGGTGCTGCATTCGGAATCGACCCCAAAAACGATGACTACAAAGTGGTGAAATGGTATGAGTTTGAAGATGTGTACGGATATGAATTCTGTGTTTATAGTTTGAAACTAAATTCATGGAGGAGAATAAAAGATGGGTTGCCATATGATGAGGTAATAGAGCCTCATTCTAGTTGTACTTTTGTTAACGGTGTGTTATACTTTGTTGTGAAATATGACGAGTCCGAGTCTGATGACGACTACGATAATTACGACGACCCTGATGACGATGATTACGACTCTAATGAGGACGAGGTTTACTTCATTGTTGGATTTGATCTTGGAAGTGAAGAATTTCGTTATGTATGCAGCGTACCAGTTTCGCCGCGTTACAAGGATCAGTATGATTATCACCATTTGTTATCCTTAAATGGTCGTCTTCAATGCTTCTCTAGTTATATGAATAGGGGTGGACTAATGGGGCAGATATGGGAGAGGAGAAAAAAGGATGATAGAGATAAGATGACTTGGGACTTGGTTAGCTTTGTTTCCTTTTATTCGCGTGGTTCAGACTTTAGGGACAGTAGGATACTGGCAGTAGAAGAGAAATACAGGATACTCTTACAAGTTGGGGAAAAGCTTGTACTGCATGATTTTGACAAAAGATCAATTGGAGAGGTGATCATAAATGATAAGGAAGCAGGTTCTATCACTTCTTGCACTTGTGTTCAAGGCTTTGTTAACCCTTGTTCTTTTCTGATATAGGAATCACAAGAAATTACATCTTCAAGAAAGGAAGTCATTTGGTACTAATGAGCATGATGAGGGCGATAGTAGATCCAATCACTACGTTTATTTCCTCAACATAAAGCTGATTTATGTTATCAGAACTCGGAAAAATTTGGTAACGAAGAAATTGCTTCAAGGTTTCATGCCGGCTACCTGATCTTGATCAATCAGGAAAAGCAGATTCGCAGAAGAACAGTATCCAGTTTGCTTTTAGTTTATTCCACAGCTGCTGAATGCATTGGATCTGCAAAAATATTTGCCTTCACATACTAATTAGGTGCTCTGGAAGTCAGATAAGTTCTCCAGTTTGTACATTATCAAACGAGAAGCAGCTGGACAACAATGTGCCTTTTCATAGGACTCCTATTCAGTAGGCAATCTGTACCTTGAAGGAAAGCATTTACTATATCCGCGGCTAATCTTTTTTATTTTCCCTTTGGTTTTTCTTCCAGTATCATACTATCACTTTCAGATAATTGTAAAAGCTTGATGCAGTTATAATGCAACTCTTGGGCTCTTTGTGATCAATAACAACATCAGGATTCGGACTATACTTTCAACGATTTTGCTATTTCACTGTATTATTAGATCAAATTCAAGTAGTTTCATAATTTGGCAATTTGCAATTAGATCGGCCATATACTATTCAATCAATCATAAAATCAGTTTGGAAAATTCTGCCTCATGAATCCTAACGATGAACAATAAAAAAATTTCTACACATGAGAAAAACGACAGTGTCATCGTGGCTCATTGACTGAGATGGACAAATCATTCAACAATAACATGCAAATGAACCCCGTGATGTCATTATTAAGTGCCCTTCTTCCAATGTAAATTACCGGTTGCTTTGGACGGCCGAAACTTATAGTCTCATGATTGAGCATGAAAACAACATCTAACATTGTTGGCGTAGGCACTTTCTTTCACACACAAAAGACCTTCATGAATGGATCTTAGTATCTTTGTTGTGTTGTTGCTGGAATTGCCAAGTGCGGGATCCTTTAGTTCTAAGGCCACCCCTTCTTTCCCATTTAGTTTGTTTTTTGTTAGGTTATTAGAAGAAGAGCTACAGAGAAACAAAGATTTATGGAAAAGGATTGATCAGAAAAACTTACATTTCCTATGGAGGTAGAGAGTGCGATCCTCAAAATCGTAGAAACTGGAGCTTCTCCTACCACTGATAATTTCGAGGATTAGCACCACAAAACTAAAAACATTGGATTTGATCGAAAAATTTCCTTGCATGGCGTATTCTGGACACATGTAACCACTGCATAGAGTCATTGACCTTGTTTCTTTTAGATACTAGTTGAGAAAACACACTTGTTGACGAGATACAAAGTGAAGATGGTGATTTCTTGACATAATGAGGCTGATGTAACTTACTATGTCCCAACAACCTTCTTTGTCTTAGCTTAAGTCTCTTTCTGCTTGAAAATTTTTGCCATACCAAAATCAGCAATTTTTGGCCCCATATTTTCATCCAATAACTTGAGCTCTCTATGTATTACCCGCATTCTGGAATATCTATAGAGGGACAGCAGGCCTTGAGCAATGCCTTCGATAATATCGAATCTCTTTTGCCAATCCGATTTCTCCTTTTCATCTTTACCTGCCAAAAAGATTCAAAAGGCATGAATCAAAGTCTACTTTTCATTTTGTCAAATTACATTTTCCAAATAAAATCGGTTTGAAAAAAAGATTCAAAGGCCACAAACCAAAAAGGAAGAAAGCGAGGCTCTTGTTGGGCATCTATTCATAGATTAGCATTTTCTTTTCTTCATGAATGCAGCATCCTAAAACACAGACGAGATTTGTGTGTTGGATCTTGGATATAAGCATCAATTCATTTTTAAAATCCACTGATTCTTGACCTGATGTTCTTGAAAGCCTTTCGATAGCAATTTTCCGAACATCTGGTAAACTCCCCTGTCATTGGATAAAGGGCCACCAGCATGAAAATGAATCATAACCATCTTAGGAATTCTATGTAGTATAACATACCAAATTACACTGGTCCGAAACCACCTTCTCCAAGTTTGTTTTCTTGTGAGAAGTTGTTTGTAGCCATCAACATGGAGTTGAAACGGAAAATATTTAAGTCACCTTCTCTAGTTCTGTTTTACGCATTTCATCAAAGTTTTTGAAGCTCTCAGAAACTGTCAATTGATGTAGGTATTCATCACGCAGTTGCTTCACAGCCTATACAGTACAGAACGAATGCATCATTTTAGAGACATTTAACAAATGAGAATTAGAGAGATGTGGAGGATGTTGATGATTACCTTCTACTTTATGATTTTGAGTAAAATGTCCACATGGTCCCTTATATTTGGGCTTACTTGAATTTACGTCCCTAACATTAACATTTCAATATTGTACTAATATTGTGAAATGTTAATGTTAAGGACGTAAAGAAAAGTGTGAAAACATAATTTTTGTGACTACGATATTGAAATGTTAATGTTAAGTGCGTAAATTCAAGTAAGACCAAATGTAAGGGACCATTTAGACATTTTACTTTTAATCTTGACATAGCCTATGAAGCCAAGCAGAAATATTAGAATGACTGCTGATATCGATACAACTACCCATAACCATATGTTTAAATAGAGAATAGTGCTAACAGATCCACAAATCAGGAAATACTTGGATCAGCATTCATCACCGAAAGATTTACCTTTAGATGATTTTGCTACAACCAACACATATTTTCTCATAGTTTGGCCAGACTTATCTTCAAGAAACTGTTTATTTTGTGTCCAAGTCATACAACCTGTGCCCTTGCTATTAACTGTAAAACCATTGCAGTTGCAATCATTCGAACACTTTCCCATACAGTCACTAAGGCTAATGCTAGAATTGGCATCAGAGTTACCATTATCTCCTCGAAAACTCCCACTCTTTCTCTCAAATGTATTCTTACTGCTTCGGCAAATAGGCAATGCTGAACTCGCGCAGGGCGCACAACCATTGTCCATTTCGCACCTATAACAAAAACCTTGGTAAGGACTGATAACTACTCCTGACGAAGCTTGGATTTGCACCGCCGGTTTGACAGCGGAACTTCGATTAGAGTTTCCTGTAAAAGAAAGCCTCGGGGTCTCCCAAGGATAGACACTCCGATACTTAAGTCAGAAAGAGGGTTTAAAAAATGTATGTAATTCAGTGTGTTGTGCTAGAGATAGCATACTCGTATTATGTTCTGACCAACCCTATTTTATAGGCATGGAATTACCTTGAAGGATGCCAAATCCTATTAGGTTTCATGTTCTAGAACTGCCTCTTGTAGAGTCGGTTGGACCATTATCGCGGGATGGGCCGGTCCAGTAACCCTCGGTGGATATGGACTCGTCAAGTCCCCCTGTCAAGTATTAGTTGTGTGAAATAAACAAGACTTGACATAAAATAAATGATACCTGGACCAGGCCCAAATTGAATGAGCAAGTCTCGGCCCAACAATTATCGAGTAGCCCTGATAGGATTGTTCACGGGTCAAGATCCGAACCGAGAAGATGACTCGCTTCAGGATCCCGCCCAAAACATCAATCCATACATCTTTAGTGGGCACGTTCCCTAAACGACGGCACCTTCATCATTGCTGGTTCCTTGGAATTTGCCCAAACTGTCAAATCGTGGGCAACAATAGCAGTACATAAAACCTTTTGGACTCATTATTCTCCCCATTTCATTTCGTGAAGAGAACAACTCTCCTCTACTCTCAAAACATATTTTGTGAAAATCTAATTTCCCAAATTCGTCGTTGTGCCCCAGTTATCGCCGTCGGTAATCTCTGTCGCTGTTGATTTGAGAAGAAGCCGCAGTCAGAGAAGGTTTCTCAACTGTGTTATCAACAACCCACTCAATTGCTCCACCAGCCGACGCCTAGGAATCTCCGCCGCCAATGACTGTTCTAACTCTGGGAAGCTACAACTCACAAGGGGAGTGGAAGCCTTTGCCGAAAGTGTAAAAAGTAAGTTCCCAGATCTACGACTCTCAATTCCATTTTCTTCCTCTCATTTTCCTATGGTTGAATATAGATTGGTATAAATTTAGGTTGAAACATGACTAGGAATCCAGATCTGAAAACCGTAAATAATTTTGCCTCCACCATAAATTCCGACGAGAAGGTCGGATCGGTGAGAACGAAATATGACCTGTCCCAGGATTTAGAAATGAGAGCTCCCCTAGGAATTGAGAGAGTCAATACTCCTCCAGAAGGAAAAATCACCATTTATGACCGATTCATGTTTCTAGGGTTGAGATTCCCCCTTTTTCCTTTGTTTGAGGAGATTGTGCAATATTATAAAATTCCACTAGCTCAATTCACCCTAAAACTCATAACGTATGTTCTCGGTTTTGTAAAAAACTGCCAACGAGCCAAGGTGAAACCCTGTCTTATATTGTGGAGGTACTTTTTAGAGTATCGAAACCGTCTACAACCTTTCAGGATTGGTATATGGTGAAAAGAAACCTTATGTTAGGCTCTCGAAAGATAGTAGAAGCTTATAGTGGGTCTCCCACATGGCACCTAAAAAATACTACGTGGCTTGGAATTATCGAGAAACCGAAGGTTTTGAGGCGGTAAAAGACGAGCGGACGAAGGAGGATGAGGAGAAGATCAAGGAATTTGACAATGACTTAGAGAAACTCGAGAGGTATCCCAAGATACTCGAGTATGGAGCTGTGCAGCAATTCGTTCCTGTCATACTAGTCGAGGAATTAGAAGCTGACAAAACCCTTGATGTCCCCCTCGAGGAAAATAAAGGTACTAATCTCGTTATTATCTCTGTGTGTTTAGGTCATGTCTTCGGGAAACACCTGTTCCGGATTATATGGTGACTCCAACCCCTTTAATATTATAAACTCAGATGACGATGCTTCCACAACAAAATCAGTGGCAGAGAAGATAAAGAAGAAGAAGAAGAAGAGGGCTATGGCAAGGGAGTTCGAGAAGGGACCAACCACAAAGAAGTCAAAAACCAACACGTCTTCCCGCAAAGCAAATTGAGCAGCAAAGCAGGGCGAGGAGACCATTCCTCCTTTGACCGAGAAGGAGGTGCCCTCAGAGAAGGAGACTGGGCCAAGCACTCAACCTCTCCCTATCGAGAAGGGAAAAGGCCCTTTCGCGGGGAATGTAACCATCCTGCCTCCTGAGAAACCTATTGGGGGCCCTTCTATCGCGGTTCATACCTTTGACAATCCTCCTACCAATGAGTGCCCTGTGCTGGAAGAATTTGCTGCCAACCTTACCCAGGCAGATGGATTAAAATTGGTAAATATCTTAATCCATACGCATTCGTTTATCTCATATTTTAGCATGAGTGTATATTTGTTGTGTGTTTGGTTTTCACTTATGAGCACAATTATGATGAACCATGCCAAAAGGTCCAGGGATCTAAGGCGAGAACTAGCGGAAGCTCGAGCTGAGAGAGACCAAGCGTTGATCAAGAAGCAGGCTCTTGAGGAGAGGAACCTGCAGCTGCAAGCCAAGGAAGTAGAGCTTGCCTCGGTCCAAACCCAACTTGGAGAATTGAAGCAGAAATTTCAAGAATACTGCACATCTCCAAGGAGGACCTCAATAAATGGTGCACTGCATTTTGGTGGAGGATGCTATCATCAGGGGGGATGACTGTTGCTGTGGAGGAGATTAATACTGCCTCAATGGCTTATGGGGGCCATGCAGTTGCCGTCGAGGGCTTGAAAAGACTGAAGTCAAAAAATCCTGTTAAGGCTAAGTGGCTTAAGCAATTTCTGAAGGAAAACCAAAGAAGACCATGTATGAAGCCTTGGTCTAGGGTCTTTGCAAGCTATCTACGGATCAACTACCCCTGTGGGAGGCCTTCTGTGAAGTTCTGTCCAAGATGAGTTCGCCCGAGAACATTGTCTCATTTCCCAGGGATGTGGCTTCTATTTTCACGAGAGGTCCTGGTGAGGAATTGGCAATACCTGAAGTCTCCGACGAGTATTTTGGAATTGACCTAGAAGAGGATGAAGATGAGACTGCTAAGGAGGATGACACAGGCAATTCGGGTGCCAAGGACCAAGATCCCCCAGTCGTGGGCGATACTAGAGGAGTCGAGGAAAGGAATCCCCCTGTCAAGGAAACATCTGAAAACCAACCGGGAAATGACTCTCATTCTCAGAGTGCTGTATGAATTCAGCTTCCTTATAATAGAGTCCTTCCTTATTTTTGAGAAGTTATTGTATCACCATCCATGGCGGTGAATGTGAACATTTTAAGCATCTGTTGGTGCTTATATAATATCCAATCCTTTTAACTTTATCCCATGTCTTATGCTAGGAATCGTACTTTGTGCACCAGGTACATCTGAGATCTTGGACGAAAATCAACCTAAAAATTTCCCCATGTATGCTATGGTTTCTGTGGCGATGAGAAAGTTAGGCAATGTCCATAGTATTTCTGCTGTAAGAACCCTCGAGAGAGACATTATGGACGCAATGCAGGCATACAATGTGCACATACATTCTCAGCTGGTACAACGGTTCAAGCAAAAAGAAGAAGAATATCAATTCCGCCTTCAGCAATATGACCTCGACCATCAGGATTCCCTGATCTTGGAGGCAAATGAAGTGAAGAAATGGGGAATTTAAAGAAAGAGAGCGCCCAACTGAAGCGTCATGAAGAAATCATGGTATCCCTATGGTTTCTCGAAAAGTTCCACATCCTTTCACTTGTTTAGAAACAAATCCAAACCAGGGCAGAACGCTTCATTGCCGCCATCAAGATACTGAAGAGAAGGACTAAAGAGGCTGAATTTTATTCGAGACAATCTGCCATCCTACAGAACATACTGGTCGATCGTGAGATCCCGCTTCCTATTCTCGAGGACCTAGATGAGAACGAGGAAGCTTCAGAGAAGACGGCTGCCGAGGAAATCCTTCTTAGGCTTAACGAGCAAGACTGGGAAATCGTCGACTTGAAAGACAAGTTGAACCAGTGTATCAACCAACTTAGAGTGCTAGGATTCTCAGGCGTGATTAAGCCATCTCGATTTAACCCCAAGGGGAAAGATCTTAGTATTTAAGGATAAGAAGATGTATTTATCCCACCCTGCACATGGTGTGAGGGTAATGTATTTGATTCGAGCCTTATCGGTGTCGTTTTTTAATTCATACTCGAGTAGTATTTATATAGCGCTTTCTTGGTCGGATGTAAGTACAAACACTCTCGAGGGAACTGGGTACGAGTTCCTTGACTTATTACCACGATCTATGGTGGGTACGAGGGGACTTCCTCGGTTTTTGTCCGGATGTTGAATACACGGCTCTGAACGAGGATGGCCCTAGAAAGGGAGTCCATCTCGAGGACTAGTAATGATAATGTTGACAATGTGAAAGAATATGCAATGACTTTTATTGAATAATTACCCAAGGACCTGGGTTAGCATTACATATGAAAAAGCAAAAGTAGTAAAGCAAATGAAACATATATGGCAACCGAAACTAGCACGTAGCTAATAGGGGCTTAAACATAGAACCTGCGGAGGTTTTGAATGTTCCACCATTGAGGGAGGATGATTCCACCGTCGTTCGTGGTTTGTAGACGATAGCTGCCTGCTGAAGAGGTTTGAATGACTTTGTAAGGTCTTTCCCAATTTGCAGTGAGCTTCCCAGGAGTCTCGGCTCTACTAGCTTCATTTTTTCTGAGTACGAGATCCCCCACCGCGAGGTCTGCTACCTTAACTCGCTTATTATAGTGTTTTCTGAGGATCTCCTTGTACTTTTCTTCCCTCATTCTGAGGGCGTCTCGTCGTTCCTCGAGCAGGTCGCGATTTAGCCTGACATCATCGTCATTAGTACTCTCGACAAAGTTGATTGTATGAGGACTTGCGAGGCCTATTTTGACTGGGAGACGCATCCATACCATAGACCAAGCTATAAGGGGTTTCATTTGTCGAGGAGTGCGCTGTGGTGCAATATGAGCACAAGACATGGGAGAGTTCCTCAGCCCAAGCTTGTTTAGCATCACGCAGCCTGGTCATGATTCCATGCAGGATAGTTCTATTAATAGACTCTGCTTAGCCATTAGCTTGAGGGTGAGCTACACTCGAGAACTGACGCTCAATTTGCATTTCCTCGCACAAGATTTAAAAGGGTTACTCTCGAATTGAGTGCCATTGTCGAAGACAATAACCCTAGGAACTCCAAAGGGGCAGACGACATTTTGCCAGAAGAAATTCAGCACTTGTCTTCCAGATATTGAGGCTAACGGTTTAGCTTCTACCCACTTGGTGAAGTAATCCACTGCTACTATTACCCATCGTACTCCTCATGCCCCTTTGGATGAAAAGGGCCGATGATGTCGGTACCCCATTGGTAAAATGGCCAAAGGACTTTGAATGGTGACCATCTCGTGCTGCGGCTATCAGGTAATAGGGCTAAAGCGTTGACATCTATCGCACTTTTGCACGAATTGATATGCATCTTTGAAAATCGTGGGCCAAAAGTACCCGGAACGCAGTACTTTCTTAGCAAGTGCCCTGACTCCCATGTGTGCTCCGCATAATCCCTCGTGAATCTCCTCAAGGATGTTTGTTGCTTGTCTTGGTCTGCCACATCGCAACATGAGTAGCAGGTATCCATGCTTGTACAACACTCCATCTCTCAACGTGTACTTGGGCGCTTTCAACCGGAACGCTCAAGCATCGGACTTATTATTAGGTAACATCCCATCTGTTAGATACTGAATGAACGGGGTTATCCAAGTGTCACCGTCCTCGGTGATGGTCATTGTAGGCACTTTCTGAATTCTAGGCTCTGGGAGGATCTCGACCCAAACCTTGTGACTAAGGTGCACGAAGCTCGAGGAGGCCAACTTGCTCAACGCATCTGCCCTTGTGTTTTTTGTCCTTACGATGTGGGAGATATTGCATTCTTCAAACTTATCTTTTAACTCGAGAACTTTCTCTAGAGATTGCTTGAGTTGCTTGTCATTTGCTGTATAATCACTTGCGATTTGATTTACCACCACCTGAGAGTCACTAAAGACTTGGATTTTTCGGACCTTAAGTTTTAGAGCCATGTTTAGCCCTGCTATCAATGCTTTGTACTCAGCCACATTGTTAGTAACCAAAAAGCCGAATCTCAATGCATAGGTGTACTCCGGATCATATTCTTTCATGTTCTCAATTTCGGGACCAGCCGATGGCTTTGCTAATATAATACCGGCTCCTCCCCCCTCGTCGCAACAAGAGCCATCAACGTATAGCATCCAAGCTCAAGGATTTATCTCGACGCGGGTAGCGGAGTGATTCTTAGGCTTTTCGACTTCAGGAACATTATCAGAACGTGGCATCTCTACTAGAAAGTCTGCAAATGCTTGGCCTTTGACCGTCATTCGTGGCTTATATTCTATATGATGCTCTCCCAACTCTACTGCCCACTTCATCATCCGACCAGAGGCTTCAGGCTTGAGAAGGACTTGCTGAATAGGTTACTCTGTCAATGCTCATATTGGATGCGCTTGGAAGCATGGGCGTAGGCGTCGAGCAGTCAGAACCAAACTTAAAATAAGTTTTTCCATGGGTGTGTACCGTGACTCTTCTCCTTGTAATACTTTTCTTACGAAGTAAACGGGGATCCCCTTGCCAGCCTTGTTTTGGACTAGGATGGCAGATACAGCTTTTTCTCGATCAGCCAGATATATATGTAAAGTTTCTCCCGGTTCTGGCTTGGCTAAGATAGGTAGCTGTTTGAGAAGCTCCTTCAGCTCCTAGAAGGCTTGCTGGCATTCCTCATTCCACTCGAACATCCTCCCTTTCCTTAAAGTTTTGAAGAAAGGGAGACTTCTCTCGGCCGCACGAGAAAGAAATCTATTCAACGCTGCAAGAGAGCCAGTGAGTTTATGTACTTCTTTAACTGTCTTAGGGGGCTTCCATGGAAACGATTGCTTCAACCTTGGTTGGATCCACACTTATGCCGTCCTTGGAGACTTGGAAACCTAGCAATTTTCCAGACCCGACACAAAAGGAACACTTCTTCGGGTTAAGTTTCGTGTTGATTTTACGGAGAATCGTTAAGATTTCCTACATGTCCTCTACTATTTTATCATTGAGATTGCTTTTTATGACCATGTCGTCAACATAGATCTCGATGTTATGGCCAATTCGATCATGGAACACCATGTTGACCAGGCGTTGGTATGTTGCCCCAGTATTCTTTAACCCGAACGACATCTTGTCATAGCAATAGACTCCAATTTTAGTGATGTGAGCCATTTTTTCTGCATCATCCCAAGCCATGAGAATTTGGTGATATCCCTTGTATGCGTCAAGGAAGCTAAGAGTTCTAAACCCTGTAATTCCCTCAACCATTTTATCAATGACTAGTAAAGGGTAGCAATCCTTGGGGCAATGTTTGGTGAGGTCGGTGTATTCTTGGCACATATGCCAAGAAAGATCTGGTTTGTGGACAAGAACATGATTAGCTAAACATGTGGGCCAAAGGACTTCTTGTAGGATGTTGGCGCGAACAAGCTTAAGTGTTTCCTCGTTGATGTCGTTGTTACGATCTCGAGCGAAGATTCTCTTCTTTTGCTGCACGGGTCTGATGTTGGGATCCATGTTTAGCTTATGTTCAATAATTTGTCGAGGAACGCCAATCATATTGGATGGTGTCCAAGCAAATATATCCTGGAATTCGTGTAGCAAGGCGATTACCTCGGCTTGCAATATTCCATATATAGATGCCCCCAACTGGATTGTCTTTTGAGGTTCTTTCTCGTCTAAGACCAGATCTGTTGTTTTACTGCTAAGCGGTGGCTGATGAGAAAGGTTGAGATCCATGGACTGTTTCTCTTACTTGGATTCTATTGATAAAATCCCGTGCTGAATTGAGTAACAACCTGACGTAGTAGTGGTAGATCCTGATGCCATTGCTTTTTTCCCTGTTTTGACCGCCATAAGGAGGCATTCTTGAGAACTGCATTGGCACCCTTGCACTGTACCTATCCCGTATTCTGTCGGGAATTTCATTACTAGGTCATAGGGGGGACCAAAAAGCACGGGCTTGGCACACCCATGGCTATCCTAGGATTACGTTAAAAGGCGAGGGTGCATCAACTATGGCAAAGTCCATTGTCAGGGTTACCATTCGAGGATGCGACCCTACCGTGATCGGGAGCCTTATGATTCCGCTAGAGATTATCGTGTGCCCAGAGAAGCCCATGAGTGGTAACGTGGCCAACCGCTAATCAGGATTTTGTATGTTCATCTTCTTGAAGCAATCGCTGTAGATGATGTCAACTGCACTTCCATTATCGATGTAAACATGGCTTACATGGATGTTTCCTATGATAGCCTCGATGACCATGGCATTGCTGTGTGGACAAATACATAGAACTCCATCACTGTCGGTGAAGACTATAGCCTCAGTTCCCTTGAACCGCTTATGACTGGGCTCTTGAGGGGGAGTTTTTGTTACTTCTCAAATCGAGGCTTTCATTGCAGTGGTAGAGAGAACCTCGAGTGAAGCACTATAGATGGCTCCCCACATTGTGGGTAATTTGCTTAGCAGGATCAGGGGGAGGAACTTGCTGGATCGGTTGAGGTCCCCCGTCGAGGGACTGTTGGACGGGTTGTTGCACATTGCTTCTTGGTTGCCAGTTGTTTGCTCGATTATCACCTCGAGGACCATGGTTGTTATTTTGTTTGAGGAAGTTATGGTTTCCCGTGAACTTCCCTTCCTTTCCTCGAGGAGCACCTTGTGCACCTTATACATATTGCTGAAACTTTCCAGACTTTACATATATTAATTGAATTGATTTTTATTTTGTCTATGTAGTCTATAAATAGAGCCGTGAACAAGTTTGGCGTTATCAACTTGTAGTATTTGAGCCAAAGATAATAATAATAATAAATTGTAATTTATATTCTTGTTTGTGAAATATGATTAACATGAATATCCTTATATATATATATATATATATATATATATATAGTGATGTCTGGTCGTGCAATGCGCAACCCTAGCCCAATATATTTGTAGATCTTATAAATGTTTGTATCTGGAAAAAAAATATTTTGTA